CCAAAACCCAAAAAGGGGCGGGACCAGGGAACCTAACTATAATTGACAGGTGGCTTGCCCTATGATTGCAGCCAAAAGAAGCCACCTATCTGCAGAGTCCCTGAAACTTAGGACTATAACAAACATTAAATGCAAAGCAAACAAAATTGGAGCTCCTGGTACAGCTGTTGTTGTTGTTCTTTCGTTCAGTCATCTCCGACTCTTCATGACCTCATGGACCAGCCCACGCCAGAGCTCCCTGTCAGCCGTCACCACCCCCAGCTCCTTCAAGGTCAGTCCAGTCACTTCAAGAATGCCATCCATCCATCTTGCCCTTGGTCGGCCCCTCTTCCTTTTGCCTTCCACTTTCCCCAGCATAATTGTCTTCTCTAGGCTTTGCTGTCTCCTCATGATGTGGCCAAAGTACTTCAACTTTGTCTCTAGTATCTTTCCCTCCAGTGAGCAGTCGGGCTTTATTTCCTGGAGGATGGACTGGTTGGCTCTTCTCGCAGTCCAAGGCACTCTCAGAACTTTCCTCCAACACCACAGCTCAAAAGCATCGATCTTCCTTCGCTCAGCCTTCCCTAAGGTCCAGCTCTCACATCCGTAGGTTACTACAGGGAATACCATGGCTTTGACTAGGCGGATCTTTGTTGCCAGTCTGATGTCTCTACTCTTTACTATTTTATCGAGACTGGACATTGCTCTCCTCCCAAGAAGTAAGCGTCTTCTGATTTCCTGGCCACAGTCTGCATCTGCAGTTATCTTTGCGCCTAGAAATACAAAGTCTGTCACGGCCTCCACATTTTCTCCCTCTATTTCCCAGTTGTCAATCATTCTTGTTGCCATAATCTTGGTTTTTTTGATGTTTAGCTGCAACCCAGCTTTTGCGCTTTCTTCTTTCACCTTGATTAGAAGGCTCCTCAGCTCCTCCTCGCTTTCGGCCATCAGAGTGGTGTCATCTGCATATCTGAGGTTGTTAATGTTTCTTCCAGCAATTTTCACCCCAGCCTTGCATTCGTCAAGCCCCGCACATCGCATGATGTGTTCTGCATACAAGTTAAAAAGGTTGGGTGAGAGGATGCAGCCTTGCCGTACGCCTTTCCCAATCTTGAACCAGTCTGTTGTTCCGTGGTCAGTTCTGACTGTTGCTACTTGGTCCTTGTACAGATTCCTCAGGAGAGAGACAAGGTGGCTCAGCCTTCCCTATAGTCCAATACACAAATATATATACACACAAAAACACATATACACAGACTGGGCCACAGCAACGCATGGCAGGGGATGGCTAGTATTATCATAGATTTGAAAGGGACCCCTAAAGAAGGACAATTATATGTTGCATGTTTCAGAGTAAGCAAACCACATCAACAATGACAAAGAAACAAGAAGAAATACTGCTTACTCACAAGCATAAATAAATTACATATATTAGAAACCAACACTTTCTCATTACTTTATTTTCCAGATAACCAGACAGCGCCACAGCAACGCATCAGGGAGGAGGGAGCAAGCTTGTTTTCTGCTTCCCTGGAGACTAGGACGCGGAACAATGGCTTCAAACTACAAGAGAGGAGATTCCATCTGAACATGAGGAAGAACTTCCTGACTGTGAGAGCCGTTCATCAGTGGAACTCTCTGCCTGGAGTGTGGTGGAGGCTCCTTCTTTGGAAGCTTTTAAACAGAGGCTGGATGGCCATCTGTCAAGGGTGATTTGAATGCAATATTCCTGCTTCTTGGCAGAATGGGGTTGGACTGGATGGCCCATGAGGTCTCTTCCAACTCTTTGATTCTATGATTCTATGAAAGTCAACATCGACACCGAAATACAACACCGCCTGAGCTCTGCGAGTGCAGCATTTTCCCAAATGAAGCAGAGAGTGTTTGAGGACCGGGACATCCGTAGGGATACCAAGCTGCTTGTCTATAAAGCTATTGTCCTCCCAACCCTGCTCTATGCCTGCGAGACGTGGACTGTCTACAGACGTCACATGCAACTCCTGGAACGATTCCATCAGCGCTGCCTCAGGAAAATCCTGCAAATATCTTGGGAAGACAAGCGGCCAAAGTCAGCATGCTGGAAGAAGCAAAGACCACCAGCATTGAAGTGATGGTCCTCTGCCATCAACTCCGCTGGACCGGCCACGTTGTCCAGATGCCTGACCACTGTCTTCCAAAGCAGTTGCTCTACTCTGAACTTAAGAACGGAAAACAGAATGTTGGAAAAGATATTGAAAGATGGCCTCAAAGCCAACCTTAAAAACTCTGGCATAGACACTGAGAACTGGGAAGCCCTGGCCCTTGAGTGCTCCAACTGGAGGTCAGCTGTGACCATTACATATATTAGAAACCAACACTGTCTCATTACTTTATTTTCCAGATCACCAGACTGGACCTGATAGAGAGAGAACATCATAAGCGGTGCTGCGCATGCGCGACTGAGCTGTCTAAGGGTGCCTTCCCTTCTTGGCCACTAGGGGCTCTGAGTTGCCTCCTGAGGCGGAAGTGGCCCCTTCCTATTTCTTCCTCCCTCTCGCTCTCCCTCTCGCTTTGTTCCGCCAGCCTGAATGAGCGACGGCTTCCGGTCTCAGCAGCTGCTCGGCCACCATATTGGGGTTTGTTACAGGCATCGCCTTGGCCGCCGACAGAAGCAGAAGCTCGGCTCTCTTATGACCTTTCTTACCATCAAGAGAGGGAGCCTTTGGGAGGAAAAGACTGTGCCTGCCTCGAACCACTGTGGGGCCTGGGCCTGGGCCAGGCCAAGAAGAGTTAGGAGGGCAAGTTGTTGTGTGTTGACAGTGAAATAACGGGGCAGAGAGAGGGAAGGGAAGGGGTGGGTGGGGCTGGCAGGAGAAGGAGAGGGAGTCCCACAAGGTCTGCCAAAGAGGGTTGGGGCCTCACCAGACTACAAATCCCATGCCCCATAGCATGGAGCCATACCAGTTCAAGTGGGGTCAAACTGAATTGAGTTGAAGTAAGAAAAAAGGGGGCAGAAGAGAGTCCTTTGCTGTGGGTTCGACCTTTATGTCTCTTCCCATCCTTTTAGGGAAGAATTCAGAATAAAAAGGGAGAGGCTATGGGTTGAACAGAAGAGAAGGAAAAATATATTTGAATATATATATGTACAGTTGACTCTCGGCTAACTGGCACTCCTGGGAATCCATAGAATGTCTCTTCTCATCCTTTTAGGGAGGAATTCAGAATAAAAAGGGAGAGGCTGTGGGTTGGACAGAAGAGAAGGAAAAATATGTTTGAATATATATATATGTACAGTTGACTCTCGGCTAACTGGCACTCCTGGGAATTCATAGATGCTGGATCAAGCATGGGCAAACTTGGGCCCACTGGATGTTTTAGACTTCAACTCTTAGGAATTGTGGGAGTTGAAGTCCAAAACACCCAGAGGGCCCAAGTTTATCCACGCCTCGGATAAATGTAGCTTCTGGTTGCTTGAGACCTGCTATTAAAAAAATAGCCGAACTTAGAGCTTTCCAAACCATGTGTGTGGCTGCAGTGTGTAGGTGTGTCACGCAAACATAGAATCATAGAATCAAAGATTTGGAAGAGACCTCATGGGCCATCCAGTCCAACCCCCTGCCAAGAAGCAGGAATATTGCATTCAAATCACCCCTGACAGATGGCCATCCAGCCTCTGTTTAAAAGCTTCCAAAGAAGGAGCCGCCACCACACTCCGGAGCAGAGAGTTCCACTGCTGAACGGCTCTCACAGTCAGGAAGTTCTTCCTCATGTTCAGATGGAATCTCCTCTCTTGTAGTTTGAAGCCATTGTTCCGCGTCCTAGTCTCCAGGGAAGCAGAAAACAAGCTTGCTCCCTCCTCCCTGTGGCTTCCTCTCACATATTTATACATGGCTATCATAATGAGAAACTTTGAAGTCTGTATGAAATAAGCAATAAATCATTCATTTATTTATATTCTGCTTTATCTCTCCATACAGAGACTCAAAGTAGCTCACAATCAAAAACAGTACAACTTAAAATATACAATAATAAAACAGTATATCATTGTATATTATAAATTCTCAGTAGTAATTACTGCAATGCAACCTGAGCCCTGCCACATGCACAATGGAAGACCTTCTTGCAGCAACACTAGAGGCACTCCCAAGTGGCCAGCTACTGGTCAAAGGACATTTAATAGAATACCAAGTCTGCAAACTTTGTGTCTTGTTTGTTTGTTTTGTTTGTTTTTAATGCAGTAAACTGTTTTGGTTCGCGCCTGACACGATGAATAAATAAGGAGTAATTATATTTAATATATTAGTAATAATAATAATATTAATAATAACTTAATTTTGGTATCCCACCACCATCTCCCCGAAGGGGCTCGGGGTGGTTTACATGAGGACAAGCCATGAATTGAATGTGATTTACCTGCTTCTGGCGGGAGGTGGGACTAGATGGTCCATGAGGTCTCTTCCAACTCAAGGATTCTATGATTATATAAGCCCAGTCAAACACAGATTAAAATATAACGCAGCAAAATTTACAAATTAGTATTACTATATTACAATATTATTATATATTATATTGTATTATTATTACTATTATTATATTGCATTATATTATAATAATATATGCATATACAATATATTATTAGCATAGCCCAATATTTGTATCCTATATTACTATATTGTACTATACCACTATACTGCAATATTATTAGTAATATTACATGTAATATATAATATACAATTATGTTATATCAATGAAAGGTTTTCTTGAGTTATGTTGCGTCCTCATACATTTTGTTAGGACACTGTATATGTTTGTATCTCATATAAGAATTTGGTTAGATCTCCAGTTTGCTAGTCAATGACGCCTGTTAAAAAGTCTGTCACTGACATGAAATGTTTTAAAAGCTCTGTCCTAAATAATACTATACCATAAACTTTATATTAATATTGAAATGGTTTAATTTTAACTTCTGGGCATATAATGTTTAGTGTCGTAATTTAATTTTGCTTTTTCTGTTTAATTTGTTTATAGTTATTGTCTTTGATACTGGCAATGAATATTTGAACTGCTTTCCCTGGTTGCTTGAGTGCTGATTTGAGAGTCTGCTGTATATATGTATACAGCAAGCATCCACTTATCTGATGGGCTTGGGACCAGAGTCCTATTAGAAAGTGGAGTAGTCAAAAAGGAGTAAACCAGTTTATTGTGGCTCGCAAATGCTCTTTGGCTGCTTAAAACTATAAATAATATGCTTTTGAATGCATGATAAAGCGAAAATAACTTTTGCATGCTTTCAAAAGTGCTTAACTGTCTACTCTTTCCGTAGACAAGCCTTGAAATGGCATATATGCTCACAATGCAGCTTCATAGGCAGAACTGACTAAAGAGTGCATCCCTTGTCAGATTAATTGAACTTGTCTTTAATTTGCTGAAATAATGAATAATGCTGAAATAATGAAGTGTCAGAAAGCAAGATGGGGGAAGTCCATGCATATATTCATTTGCACCTTGACAACTGGTTCTAGCTTTTAGAGGCACATCTTCTCTTCCTTCCTTTGCCCAAGGAAGGGGGAGGATGAGTCATAACAGCCTTCACAGCAGTCGTATAGCCTGACATCATCTTTTCCTCTGGTTGTAGCTTAGACAATCTATTGAACAGACCAAAGAGTGAAGAAGGGAAAGAATTATAGAATAATGAAGTTGGAAGAGATCACAAGGACCATCCAGTCCATCCCCCTGCCATGCAGGAAAAGCACAATCAAAACACTATAGAAGGAAGGAAGTCAGGAAAGAAGGAAGATTACTAAGGTAGCAAAACGTGCTTCCAGAATCTGAATCCAGGGCTCAGCCTGTTAGAGGCAGACTTGCCTTACAAACCACACCACTCACTTGTGAAATAAGGAGTCCTGTCAATCTCTGAAGGACTATGCACATTCATTGCTTTCGTCATTGGAAGCTTGAAGTGTTTTGCTAAATTATTCTGTGGGTGTGACAAATTGAGAGACAGACATCTGTTTTGAGCAGGGATTGTGGCAGTCCAAGAAGGAAATGGATGGGAAGAAAGTGCAGATCGAGACAGCTCTTGTATTAGCAAAGCTCATTCACAAAATATTTGCCTTGGTGCGCAGGTAAACTAGTTGAAAGTAGGTCAGTCTTGTTTTTTTTTCCCTTGTGAAATTATAGATTGGCCGGGTCACTGCATATCCTGAAGGCATCAGATCCTGTCTGATCTCAGAAGCTAAACAGGGACAGATCACATTAGTAACTGGATGGGAGACAGCCATGGAAACCAGGTACTATAAGCCATTTTTTTAGGATGACTGGCAATTATATTTTTTACAGTGTGCTAGGGACCAGCACCATATTTGTGCCAATGGGCTGCAGTGGTTTCTTTCTATTCTGGAAGCAAATGTCAGTGATGCAAGGTAGGTACTGGTCCAGGGGCCATCACTTTGAGTAGGAAGGCAATGGCAAACCACCTCTGTGTATTCCTTCCTTGAGAAAGCCCTGCAGGTCACTCTAGGTCAGCTTGCTATTCAAAGGGATACAGAAACATTCATTGGGAGGCTGAAGTGACTAACAGTTGACTGGTTTAAGTTTGTCTCTTGAGAGTTCAAGGCAGGGTGAAAAGTAGCAACTCTGGCATTACAGCAAGAATGAGACTCATTGTGGGATGATGGTGAAGGAATATGTCTTGCCAAGAAAACCAGGTGATAGGTTTGCCTTAGGGTTTCTATAAGCTGGACTTTACATCTTCCTGTTGAAAAAGTTGTTAATGTAACATAAGATTTAAATACTGGATTAACTGAGATCAAAACTTTACCTTTGTGCTTGAGTTTGAACTGTTCCAAAACTTTGTTGTACATAGAAAGTTAACAATAGAAATTGGCTGTAGCTGAAACTCAGAAAAAAAGTGAAATTTGGAATTGTTTCTTACTTGGAAAGAAAATCTTGTAAATGTGTATAATTTTGGTGCGGGTCAGACTGTATTTCTTTCAAGGGAATTCTGCAGAAGAGCAGTTAAAATGTTGTATTAAATTATTTCCACTTATTTCAAGTCAATTCCAGCTTATAGAAACCCTAAGGCAAACCTATCAACTGGTTTTCTTGGCAAGATTTGTTCAGAGGGGATTGCCTTTATCTTTCTCTGAAGCTGAGAGAGTGTGATTTACTCAAGATCACCCAGTGGTTTTCCATGGCCAAGTGAGGATTCAGACCCTGGTCTCCCGAATTTTAGTTCATTCTCTTTGAGTTAAATACAGACAGATAAATCAAGTAATTACAGGACTATGCCTGTTAACTTGTGGCTTATGACATCGATGTTATATGGAAAGAGAGAAATGTACTAATATTGTACAGAGTGATGAGAGAAGTCTTATTTCATGATTACTGACTTGTGACAAGTAATCATTAAGAGATCCTGAGATTGCTTTAAAAAATAGTTGGTAGCTCAAGTGGGAAGGATTATATTGTAATAAACAAATACGATGATATGAAAGTTTGCCGTTTCAAAATGAGAAGACTACAAATGAGCTAAAGTAAGTTGGGAGTGTGATAGCAGGTTGCTGTTGTCTTACTGTTACATGAATTTTATGTAATATGTGTATTATGAGGCATCTACAGTTTAGCGCCCCTAAGGAGTTAGTTCCAAGGTTTTGACATTGCTTCTATTGTGTTGCAAGCAGTAAAAACAATCTGTACTTGGACAAGTCCCAGTTAACAATCCCTGGAGACTGATTTGTTTGTGGTGAAAGCTTTCAGAGCCCAACTTGCAAATATGACACAGGAAAGCATTTTGCCTAATTTTCTGTTGTCAACCCTGTCTTTGATGGGGCTGTCACGTCTCCTTACAGATTTATGTGTTTTCAACTGATTTATGTGTTTTTAACTGATGGTATAGGTTGATTTATAATATATTGCTCCTTGTCTCAATCTGTAAGGACAGGTGGGGAATACATGTTATTGCTATAATAATTTTTCCCAAGTACTCTTCCTTTCCTTCCTGTGTTGGTATTTCATGCCACAGGGATTGAGATCCAAATCTCCACCTAAACTTAGTGAACTAAACTGTAAGCATGCATGGGAGAGCAGGGATAGGCAGAGTGCAACTTTTTAAAATATGCTGAATTATATATGAAGATTTGATTATGCTCGAGCCCAACAACATCTGTAAGTTGTTATGATCCTCTTCCTAGGATCTGCCATAGTACAAAGTGTGTGGCCTGGGACTACTATATTCCTTGAAAATCTTATATATATCTTCTGCTCAATATGTATTACTATAACCTGTGCCTACATATGGAATGTACTTCATATTGAGCTAGTTGATGGGAATTAGAGTAGTCAACTGAATGTTATAGTTAGTGGGAATATAAAGGAGGAGATAAAGGAAGATAAAGAAGGAGATGCTGGGAGGATGTGGAGCTGGGAACTAAGGCTGTGCCTTACGTTAACTGGTGTTCGGGCAAGTGGTGTTTAGATTTATTAGCCAATTACCAAAAGAACACAAAGGTGTGACAGCAGGGTATTGTGGACCAATGACACTGCAATACGTGAAATGTTGGAATGCTATACCTACATAGAGTGTGTACTTATAGCAAGCCTCAGTCCTGGCAAAAAATAGTGTATAGAACCTGTACAGTGTTTTCAATAAAGTTCTTCCATTTGTCAAAGTTGGACTTATTTTGTGAGACGGATTATTTATGCAGCTGATGGAAAGCCATATTTTGTCCACCCCAAGGTTGACATGTTGGACTGAGACCTGGCAAACCCAGGCTGTAGTTCCCACTTGGTTGTGAAAGAGAGATATTGATTGAGTAGCCCTTGGGTTGGATCCCCATCCTCAACCTACCTTAAAGGGTCTTGTTGTGATGATTTTTTTTTAAAGGAAGTTACTATGAGATCATTAAGGAAGGACTGGGATGGAAGTGTAAATAACTCATCTTTTCTACTATATTGAGGTAGAGAGATTTAACAGGCTTTTTCTACTATCTCTTTCAGGGTCTGACATTTCTTGAGGGCTTTGCAACTAATTCAAAAGAGAATTGGGGGAAGCAAAGAGGATCCTCAAGTGACATCATGGAGGAGAATGGTGAAGATGTGGCCTCCTTGGGTAAGGATCTATTCACTGTTGTTGTGAAGTCTCAGAATGTTTACTTCTTAGAACTGGTAGAAAGTACTCTTCTGCTGGATGCAATGAGTCCTCCAGACCTGTGGGATCCAGATCTGCAATTTCCACCGAGCATATAGACATTGTACATAAAGTGAATGTAGACATTCTCCAGCTTCATGATACAGGGCATGATTGTCCATGTTTTTTTTTCTTGTTATCACTATTGCTTGTTAGCTGAAGTGTTGCTCCTGATTGCATTACTCTCAGATTTGTGGGTTTGATGGTTTGTGGATTTGATTAAAATGTTCTGTCTAGGAATATCTAGGCCTTTGCGTGAAATTCTGTGGTCAGCTTCAAGCAGAGGTTGAACATAGAGCTATCCTGGAGAGGTGTTCTCTCAGGGAAAAAATAATTTCATTTTATTCATACCTTTTCTACTTTCATGGGGGTCCTCTGCCCCTAATCTCAGTGAGTAAGGGGATTGATTCTAGATTTTAAGTAGTTCAGTGCCAAGGTTGTTTCTCCCCGTGAGCCAATTTTGAAACCTCAGTCTGCAAAACAATTCTTGAAAGAGTACTGTCCAGAAGGACTTCTGGTATTTCTTGTTTAGTTATACAGCATTTCATGATGCATTTGATGAGGGCCCCCTCATGGTGCAGCAGGTTAAACTGCTGAGCTGCTGGACTTGCTGACTGAAAGGTTGGCGGTTCAAATCTGGGGAGCGGGGTGAGCTCCCACTGTGAGGCCCAGCTTCTACCAACCTAGCAGTTCGAAGACATGCAAATGTGAGTAGATCACAGGAAGATCTGCAGGAAGGTAACGGCACTCCTAAGGTTCCCTTGCATCTACAGTATAGAATTAATGCAGTTCGATGCTACTTTATCATGGCTCAGTGCTATGCAGTTGTGGGATTTGTAGTTTGGTGAGGCACCAGCACTCTTTGGCAAAGAAGACCAAAAACCTTCAAAAACTACAGCTTCCATGATTCCATTGCCTTGAGTGATGACAGTTAAAATAGTGTTCAACTGTATTATTTCTGCAGTATAGATGTACCCATAGAGTACACCTGAAGCATTGTGATTTTCAGAGGTTGGTTATGTGAAGCTCTGGAGATTTAACCTAAATTATTGGGAGTTTTAATATGAAGTTTTGCATGGCACTCTTCCATGTTTCAAAACATTCATAGACTTGCAATTGCTTTTGCAGGAGCCTAAATTCCCGGGCCTTTGGCAAACCTTCCAGGGTGCATCAAGTTCGCACATGTGTTAGCATTTGATTCCAGCTAATTGTTAGATAGATGGAAATGCTGTAGGGTGCCAATATCATTGTTGACATCCTAACAAGAGCACAGCAGTTGCATCATAATAATTGTATGTTGGATGGCTTTGTGTGCTCCACCTTCAGTTAGGAAGTTGAAGCAGCGAGAAAGTCAGATATGACCCTGATCAAACAATATTACAGTACCTGGCTTAGTAATTTGTTCCCTGGGGTCCCATGTTCTGTCTGCTCACTAGCTGGACATAATCTGTCATCTATATAAAAATAATCTGTTGGATTTCTGACCCCTTTCTGTCTTTCATTCCTTCACACAAACATGGACTTCGCCTCTGAGCTGAAAATCCCCTTTCTGAACCACTGTTTATCTTGGTTCTGCCATTGTGTAGCCCGAACAGAATAATAATAATAATAATAATAGTTATTATTATTGTTTGATATTTAACAAGATTAGTATGCAGCAAACAAGATCACTATGCTGACTTTTGTATTTGATCACATGTTGGACATTTCCCAAGTGTCTAGTAGTGTGTGATGTATCGGCAAATAATGCACAGATTTTTATAATAACAATAACAATAATAATAATCATTATTATTATTCTTATTCTACATATCCAAGAATCAAGGCTAGTTTTCTGTAGATCTGGTTCCTTTGTGATGCTGAATGGGTGTTTGGTGGAACTAATATTGACTTAACTCTAGGCAGTTCTCAGTCAAAGACCAGGCTAAGCAAGCCAAAGCCCCTTTGCGTTCTAAATTATATAGGTAACATTATGAATCAGGTCATGGGATCCATCAGGAGAACTGCTTCTCTCCCCCCCCCCCCCCCCCTCAAGCCAGCTAAGAGGAAGAAGGGAACTGAGGAAGAGACTTTAAAAACACCTGTCTCCTGGCTGTTGTTTACTACATCTGCCTGCCACCTCAGGAGGAGAAGGAGGAAATCCTGCTGCTTCACCCCCACCCCCTCAAGCCAGCTAAGAGGAGGAAGGGGACTGAGGAAGGGACTTTAAAAACACCTGTCTCCTGGCTGTTGCTTATTATTTCTTTTGTGGTTTTATATTGTATTTAATGTTTTTATGTGCATTTTGATATTATGTATATTACTTGTTGCCTGTAAACTGTCCTGAGTCGTCGAAAGGCTGAGAAAAGCGGTATACAAATATAGTAAATTAATAAATAACAAATAAACTGCGGGGAAATGGGCCTTCCTTATTTATTTCTTCCTGAAAATCAAAATGACCTTAACAGATTAGAGATCATGACTCAAACTAACAAAATGAATTTCAGGATAGGTGACATTTGGCATGAAAACAGTCCATGTGAAAAGGATCTAATAATCTTAGTAGACCATAAGCTAAACATGAGACAGCAGAGAGATGCAGCAGCTAAAAAAGCCAATGTGTTCTAGGCTGCAGCAATAGGAATATAGTGTCAAGATCAAAGGAAGTCATAGTTGCACTCTCTTCTGTTTTGGTCAGATTTCACCTGAAATACCACTTTATCCAATTCTGAGCCCCACAATTCAGAAAGAGATATATAAGCTGGAAGGTGTCTGGAGAAGGACAACAAAAGCTCTATGAAGAATGATTTAGGGAGCAAGGGATGTTTAGCTTGAAGAAGGAAAGTTCAGAAGGGACATGATAGCCATGTTTAAATATTTGAAATGATGTCATATTGAGGAAGGGGCAAGCTTGTTTTCTGCAGCTCTGGGGACTAGGACACAGAGGAATGGATTTGTGCAGGAAATGGAGGAAAAGATATTTCACTGAAACATCAGAAATAGCTAATTGATGAAAGAACGGTGTGGCGGTGGAATATACTGCCTGTGAGTGTGGTAGTGTCCTTTCATCTGGAGGTTTTTAAGTAGAGGCTGGATGACCATCTGTCAGAAGTGTGTTGATTGTGTCTGTGCATATTGTGTTGGTGATTTATGGCATCTGGGTGATTTCCAGCAATGGGGGCAGGAAAATACACAATCTTAATGTATTCCATGCTGCTTAGCTGGAGCGGGAGATCCTTCATCTTCATCACTGAAGAGCCATATCTGCTTGCTGGTGACAGTACATTAGAGTCTCAGCTTCAATCTACTTCATTCGAAAAGGTGGTGTTTTAATAGGCTTACAGCTGGGCAGGTCCATGCTTGGTTATTGTTTGGATTGAGGGAAATTTCAATGTTTGCCTGCCCAAACAATCTTGACAGAAAGTCTCTTTTTTGGCACTGAATTTAAAATACCAATTATTCCGGGAACATGTTAGTAACAAAATTTAACTAAACCCCCTATTTCAATTGGTTTCTAAAAACTATGTAGCCTGAATTACTTTATTCAGTGGATGTTTGACTAAAAACTTGGATTCCAAAGAGAATCTGTGCATTGTCTATACTGACTCATCATTCAATCACGTTTCCAGCCCTCATAGTTTCATAGGTACTCAGTAAACTGAGTCACTGGTTGTCCTTTCTTAATGATGCTCAGCCATATTTTCCCATTAGTAACTTCGGAAATCTAAAATTTTTCACTTCTAATTTTGTCTGTTTTTCCTTTTTCCCTCGAGCGGCCTATATTTCCACAGATGGCAGTTATACAGGTGAGTTGTTGTTCTTTTGCATGTTGGTCAGGCAAGGATAAAAACCCAAGTGTATGGAAATCTGCTCTTGAAACAATTTTGTGATTGGGATGTATTATGGAAAGAGTGGTTGTCTTTTAAAATTACTACCATATTTCTTTGATTATAAGGCGCCACTGATTATAAGACGCACATTAATTTCTGTACCACCAACAGAAAAAAAAAACCTCATATATATGCACCCTTGATTTTAAGTCACATCCTATTTTAGGGATGTTTATATGGGAGGAATGTGCATCTTAGAATCAAAGAAATTCAGTATTACTGTTGTTTGCCCAAGGGATTAGAATCAGTGGAAGCTTAGGAGGGATATTGACTGTTTAGCCCACTTCACACGTTACGCTGGACACGTGTATCACACTGTTGTCACATATCTTTTATTTCGCATGTCAGAATGCAGACTCCCGTGCCATTTTTTTGAGGTTACACGTGTTTTCTTTGCAGGCCAACTTGCGGGAGCAAAGATGTGAGATGCGTGTCTCTCGTAACGTTTGTGTGAGATGCACATGTTGCAGCAGGGGAATTGCCAGCGTGATCATAGAGTGCATTGTACAGATCATCCCATCTTTCTCTATCTGCACTCTTATCATTAGGAGCTTCTTTGTTACACCCCTTCCCTTACTAGTGCTCCCTTTACTCCACCCAAACATTTCCTGCTGCCATTTTAAAAATATCCTGCTGCCAATCTCACCGTGTCACCCCTGGAGCACACCATGTTGTCTGATACCCTTCCAGAGACCGTACCGATGCCGAATCATGGCACAATGACGGCTTCTTCGCAGGGTTCTTCCTCTGCCACCAAATCCAGGCGTCAGCCTGTTTGGACCGATGAGGAAACCCGGGCCTTCATCCAGGTGTGGGGCGATGATGCTGTCCAGGGAGCCCTGGCATCAAACTACCGCACGGTGGCACAGTTCCAGTGGATAGCGGATGAAATGCGAGCCCGGGGTTACAACAGGGACTGGGAGCAGTGCCGGGAGCGTGCCAAGGTGCTTCGGCGTGGCTTCAAAGAGATAGTGGACGGGAACAGCAATGCCGGACATGGGCGCCGCGTCTGGCCGTATTTTGAAGAACTTAACCGCTTCCTTTGCATCAAGCAAAATCTAGTTGTTCCACGGCTTTCAGGGAGCAACCCCAGGCCGCCTGTTGACCGTCGGCGACGGGAGCACCGGGAAACGCAGGATGCAGCCTACGAGCCACCGCTGTCAGTCGGGAAAAACGACAAAGGAACCTTTGAAGAGCCCGACGGGGACTGTCTCCTGTTGCCTGAATCTGCCGGATCACACCAGAGTGAAGCTAACATGGACAACCAAGTTGCTTCTCCAGCAGCAAACTCTGACCTATCCATGGATGGCAGTGTTGGCCCAGGCACTCCCATAGATCCCTTGCCACCCAATGACTCGGTTACTGGTGAGTTTTGTTTGGCTTTGGAGATTATTTAAGGGAAATTGTGAAATCTGTTTGTTATTAATGGACAACATCTAGTTACTTCTCTCTGTGGTGTAAGTGGAAAGCAAAGCAAGACAAATTGATGTGTTCTTGTAAGTGGTAGGCAAGTAATCATTGTTAGGGTGAAGAAAATGAGAACCACAGCTTGTAGTAGAAACAAAAGGGAGCTGTCAAGTCTGTAGCCTATTTGGATGGAAGGTGAAGGCTTGTATATATGCTTTCAAGTCACCATTGACTTATGGTGAGCCCATGAATTTCATAGGGTTTTCTCATGCTAGGAAGACTCAAAGTGGTTTTGCCAGTTCTTTTCTTTGAAACATAGCCTTTTAGCACCTGGTCTTAGTTGGTGGTCTCCTAAGATCTGATGAGATCTGATGCCTTCAGGGAATTTGGGCTTTTTAAAAGTTGTACAATGTCCAGTGAAATTTCAGTAGTTCTGACAGGACTTCCCTTGGTATGGAATCAGGCTGAATATCTGTTTCTTCATCTGCCTTTCACCTGTCTGGATTAAGTATAAATTTGGCTTGGGGTGGAAAGAGTAGTAGAGTTGGGTATCATCTGCATATAGTTTTTATCACACTCCGAAACTGCGGACAACATCTAGCAGTTTCATGTATATGTTAAATTGCATTGGGGACAAAACAGAGCCCAGGGAAAATCCCTAAGCCAATAGTTGGGTTTTGAACAGGAGTCCCCCAGCACCACCTTCAGGGTCCGTCCCCCCACCCACCAGAAAGGAACAGAACTACTGTAAAACAGTGACTCCCAGTCCCATCCTAGCAAGACAGCTCAGAAGGATACCATGGTTGATGTTATTGAAAGCCACTGACTGGCCCAGTAGGAACAACAGGAACACACTCCCCCATCTAGTTCTTTTTGTAGGTTATTCACCAAGGCAACCAAATGTTGGGTGAGTGGTCTTATTTACAAAAGACCCTCCTTATAAATGTATAACAGAGTAACTTATTAGCAGCACCAGTAGCAAAAAATAATAAAAATAACAAAAACACACAGACCAATGTGATTGCTTCCTTAGGAGGCTTTTCTTTGTAGCAAAATAATATGGTTGCACTATTTACAAGAGCAAGGTTTCCATAATACAAACAAAGTTCTTTATATTTCCTTCTTTGCTTCCATGCTGGGCTTTTTTCTCATGCAAATAGACAGCTTCACTCTCACAGAGCTTCCTCTGACAATAAACTTACACAGGAGCTTTACACAGTAGCCTTTTACAGACAGCAGCCTTCACACCAGAGCTTTACACATGAGGCCTTCAACCTGGGACTTCCCTCATTGAAGCTTTCTCACATGAGGCCTCACACACTGAGGCCTGCAAACTCTGAGGCCTACTAACAGTGAAGTTTACTTCACACTAAGGCCTCTCTCAGACCGAGGCCTACCTGACACTGAGACAAACTGATACTGAGGCCTTCTCACAGACTGAGGCCTCTTCACACTGAGGGCAGCTAATACTGAGATGTGCTAAGCTACAGATACACCTGCTTATATTGAACTGAAGCTTTTGCTGAGTCATTGCATCAATTTAACCCTTTCAGTGCTTGACTCACATTTTTGTAATTAAAAATACCTAGTTATTTTTTTAATATTTCTGAAACCAAAGCTGTTTTTGTCCTGTAGCCAGGCCCAAAACCAGATTGAAATTGACCTAGATAGTCATCATCAGTCTGTGCCTGACTAGGGGGATGATGCTAGATGTTGTTCTGTTCTCCAACAGCAACAGAATGGCTGTGGGAGGGTAGCTGTTGGAGCAACATAGTGAGTCTCTGGGGAAGCATAAGGTGGGATTCTTGCATATGCCACACATTGCTTCACTGAATCTATTGCAGTTGGGATTGACAGTGGGATTCAAGCCGCCTTAGTCTGTCTTCTCTGTGTCATTATGCATTGCTAATTCGGCCTACTCTTGTGCTGTTTGTTTCTCCAGCGCCAAATCTACGTCCTCGACCGCTGACGGCTGCTGAGCGAATGCGGAATCTCCGTTGCCGGCAGAGAAAGAGGCGGGGTGACACTTTGAAAGAACTAATGGAAGTCACCTCCCAGGCTACTAGCGAACTTGTCCGGACACTTTCCGACCTCACACACAAAGAAGTAGCCTCCTTTGAGCGCGCTTACAAAGAGGACCTTGCAGCTCGCAAAGACGAGATGGAGCAGAGCGCCGAGGACATTGGGAGGCTGGTCAGTGCTCTGGAATCCAGCGATCAGACTCTGAAGGAACAACTGAGCAGCCAGACTAGCGTCTTGCAGGGCATATTGGAGGTCATGAAAGACATACGGGGCCGAACGTCCTACAGTCCCCCTTACCCGTCACAGTATTACGATTTCCCCGGCCCAAGCATGATGCACACGGGTGGGGGAGCGTCCTCAAACGGCCAGGAAATGCCCTGCCCCTCCCCTTCCAGCCTTGCGTTTGCTTCCCAGCAGCCGGCCACCAGCAACGGAGACGTCTCCCCCAGGAAACGGATGAAATAGATGAGAGAGGCACTGTTTCTTTGCCGTCATTGTGGAAACCATCCTCCCAGCTCTTCTCTGTTATTGTTATGACATATATATACATATTGCTTTTGTTGCTGCCTTTCTTAATTGCATAGGTAGAACATGTTCTCACCACATTATGTGTGTCGCCCCACAACTTTAAAGTTGTGAAAATGGCTGCCAGCAGTGTACATTTAGATTTTTTTCCTTTTGGTTTTTTTTATAGCATACCTACATTAGTTCCCTTTCCATCATTGTTTTCCAGAGGAATGCAGTGTTTGATGTAAAAGTTAAACTCTTTTTTTTTTTAAATACACTTAATACATTACCAGGGACCTGTAAAAAGGCAATCTTTTAAGAGTAATAAAGCTGCACTGTTGTTCCAAATTCTTCCACATGTGTTCTGCGATAGTGCTTTGGGTTCCTAAGCACTGCCACTGTACTGGGTCAAGTAAATATCCTGCTAGAGTCAGCCTTTCCCTTTTAACCAGATCCTACAGAAAGGCTTAAAGTGGGGGTATAATATGGGCAGTATTCACCCTTGTCATGAGCCCAAAGCATCTAGGCATTTCTGAAAATGGAACAGTGGCCACTAGCTGCCAGTGCTTCCATTCTAATGCATTGATTAAACCAGAGGTCCTCAAACTAGGGCCCAAGGGCCGGATACGGCCCTCCATTTACCCAGCCCTTGCTCAGGGTTAACCTAAGTCTGAAATGACTTGTAAGCACACAACAACAACCACAATCCTATCTCATCAGCCAAAAGCAGGCCCACACATCCCATTGAAATACTAATAAGTTTATATATGTTAAAATTGTTCTTCATTTTAATTATTGTATTGTTTTTAAGTGTTTTTGCACTACAAATAAGATATGTGCAGTGAGCATAGGAATTCATTAATGTTTTCTTCAAATTATAATCCGGCCCTCCAACTGTTTGAGTGACTGTGACCTGGCCCTCTGTTTAAAAAGTCTGAGGACCCCTGGATTAAACTCTTCAAAAGGCCACTTGTGGTAGTGGCAATCAGGGCTGGTACTTAGGATATAAAATCTCCACCTCAGGCAGTACATTTCATATATAATCCTCTCACCCCCAAAACAACCAAGAGAGTCCATGATGCTTCCTTGAGGTACCATGTTGGCTACAAACCCCTAGCAGTGCTGTTCTCCCTCTATTTCAGTGGTTCTCAACCTGTGGGTCCCCAGATGTTTTGGATTTTAACTCCCAGAAATCCTAACAGCTGGTAAACTGTATGGGATTTCTGGGAGTTGTAGGCCAAAACACCTGGGGACCCACAGGTTGAGAACCACTGCTCTATTTAGTTATGACCAGCAGTCTGTTTGGATAGCAGCACTTGGCCACATAAAATAAAACAATGCCCTCTACAGCTGTGTTTATTTATTGTACCAGAAGCAATTTGAGAATACAGTTAAAATGTATAGAAAATCCACAGACACGGTTAAAAACCTGGCATTATACTAAGTTTCTTTTGACCAGAAGCTGGCCGCTTCAAGTACAATTCTCTTAAGGATTAACATTGTCCAAATGCCTTCTATATATTTAAGGAAAGTTGACTCAGTGGTCCTATGAATACTGGCAATTTTGGTAGCTGCCTTTTCCATCCTGTCTCAGACTGCGATCTTATGGTGAAGCATTTGATTCTCAATATTTATATATGATAGCCATGTATAAATATGTGAGAAGAAGCCACAGGGAGGAGGGAGCAAGCTTGTTTTCTGCTTCCTTGGAGACTAGGACGCGAAACAATGGCTTCAAACTACAAGAAAGGAGATTCCATCTGAACATGAGGAAGAACTTCCTGACTGTGAGAGCCGTTCAGCAGTGGAACTCTCTGCCCCGGAGTGTGGTGGAGGCTCCTTTGGAAGCTTTTAAACAGAGGCTGGATGGCCATCTGTCAGGGGTGATTTGAATGCAATATTCCTGCTTCTTGGCAGGGGGTTGGACTGGATGGCCCATGAGGTCTCTTCCAACTCTTTGATTCTATGATTCAATAGCTCTAAACCCCGTCTTTTCCGGGACCATCGGAAAATACGGGGTTGGAAACAGCAACTCAAATGGCATCCTGCTTCTCACCAAATGTGCGGAGCACAACCTTGTCATCACCAACACTCTTCCGCCAGAAAAACAAGTTCAAGACATCATGGAAGCACCCCCGGTCAAAGCATTGGCACCTCTTAGACTATGTAATCACACGCGCCAGAGACCGCAGTGACGTGCTCCTCACAAGAGCCATGACAGGTGCTGACGACTGCTGGACTGACCACAGGCTAATTCGATCCTCGATGGCTCTCAAGATCGCTCCCAAGCGCAGACTCCAAGGAAGGAAGACAAGGCGCAAAATGAACACCCAAGCCCTTCAGGAGCCCTCCAGACGAGCCCATCTCCAAACAGCACTCAAGGACCATCTACCCACAGTACACCCCGAAAATGTCGAGGAACATTGGAACAAACTGAAGACCTCCATCATCCAAGCCTGCGAAGAAACTATTGGATACCAAGCCAAGAAACATCAAGACTGGTTTGATGAAAATGACATCGAGATCCAACAGCTAATTGACAAGAAAAGGAAAGCCTTCCAAGCATGGCAGAGAGACATCAACTGTGCTGCTAAGAAAAGATCTATGCCAGTGCAAAAGCTGAGGTCCAAAGAAGGACAAGAGAACTCAAGAACATCTGGTGGACAAAGAAGGCTGAAGAAATCCAACACCTGGCAGATACCCATGATGCTCAGGGATTCTTCAAAGCCACAAAGGTCATCTATGGACCAAGAAACCATGGGATACAGCCTCTACGCTCATCAGATGGAAACAAACTCCTGAAGGACCAAAACTCAATTGCACTACGTTGGAAAGAACACTACCAAAGCCTCCTGAACCGCAGCTCCAATGTGGCCGAAGAGGTCTCTCTCACAAATCCCACAACAACAAACCAGGGATGAGCTTGCAGCACTGCCTAGTTTGGAAGAAGTCAGCAATGCCATCAGCCAACAAAAAAAATAACAAAGCCAGTGGACCAGATGGGATCCCTGCTGAAATCTTTAAAGAGGGAGGACCTGAGCTGACACACCAACTCCACCAGCTCATAGAAAAAGTGTGGGTGACCGAGAAAATCCCAGCAGATTTCAAGGACCACCATCATCACCCTCTTCAAAAAAGGGGAAAGAACAGACTGCGGAAACTATCGAGGTATCTCCCTTCTAACCTCCGCTGGGAAAATCCTCGCAAGAATCCTTGCAAACCGCCTTCTGCCCCTCTCAGAAGACACCCTCCCAGAATCCCAGAACGGCTTCCGCCCCTCCAGAGGAACCGTGGACATGATCTTCACTGCAAGACAGCTCCAAGAAAAATGCAGAGAACAAAACCAACCTCTGTACATGGCATTCATCGACCTTGCAAAGGCATTCGACACAGTGAATCGCAGCGCTCTCTGGACCATCCTCCAAAAAATCGGGTGCCCAAGCAAATTTGTGAACATCCTGCGGCTCCTCCACGATGACATGATGGCAACAGTCTTGGACAGCAATGGCTCCCAAAGTGACCCATTTAAGGTGGAATCAGGTGTCAAACAGGGATGTGTTATTGCCCCAACTTTATTCTCCATCTTCATCGCTATGATACTTCACCTTGTTGATGGGAAGCTTCCCACCGGAGTGGAAATAATCTATCGGACAGATGGCAAGCTATTTAACCTCAGCAGACTGAAAGCCAAAACCAAGGTTACAACAACAGCTGTTATAGAACTCCAGTATGCTGATGACAATGTCGTCTGTGCGCATTCAGAAGAAGATCTACAAGCCACTCTAAACACCTTCGCAGAAGCATATGAGAAGCTCGGCCTGTCACTGAACATTGAGAAAACCAAGGTGCTGTTCCAGCAGTCGCCAGCCAATCCCTCTCCAATGCCAGTAATACAGCTTAATGGTGTCACATTAGAAAATGTGGACCATTTCCGCTACCTTGGCAGCCACCTCTCCACCAAAGTCAACATCGACGCCGAAATACAACACTGCCTGAGCTCTGCAAGTGCAGCATTTTCCAGAATGAAGCAGAGAGTGTTTGAGGACCGGGACATCCGTAGGGATACCAAGGTGCTTGTTTATAAAGCTATTGTCCTCCCAACCCTGCTATATGCCTGTGAGACGTGGACTGTTTCAGCGCTGCCTCCGGAAAATCCTGCAAATCTCCTGGGAAGACAAGCGGACAAACGTCAGTGTGCTGGAAGAAGCAAAGACCACCAGCATTGAAGCGATGGTCCTCCAACATCAACTCCGCTGGGCCGGTCACGTTGTCCGGATGCCTGACCACCGTCTCCCAAAGCAGTTGCTCTACTCCGAACTTAAGAACGGAAAACGGAACGTTGGTGGACAGGAAAAGAGATTTAAAGATGGGCTCAAAGCCAACCTTAAAAACTCTGGCATAGACACTGAGAACTGGGAAGCCCTAGCCCTTGAGCGCTCCAGCTGGAGGACAGCTGTGACCAGCAGTGCTGCAGAATTTGAGGAGGCACGAGTGGAGGGTGAAAGAGAGAAACGTGCCAGGAGGAAGGCGCGTCAAGCCAACCCCGACCGGGACCGCCTTCCACCTGGAAACCAATGCCCCCACTGCGGAAGAAGATGCAGAGCAAGAATAGGGCTCCACAGCCACATACGGACCCACAGGGAAATCCATAATGGAAGACCATCTTACTCGTCCAACGAGGGATCGCCTAAGTAAGTAAGTAAGAGTAAGCTCTAAACCAGTAGTTCCCAACCTGTTCCCAACCCTAAAATAAGGTTAGCGGCTCTAGATTATTAAGTATGGTTTTCTGTGGGCGAGTAGATGGTGACTACTGGATGACATATGTTCTGTATCAGAAACTAGAGCTGATGTGGTCTATCCAGTGCAACTTTCTGAATCAGCACCCCAAATAACCAAACTGAATCTAAAGCTGATGAAAAACTGATTCGTAACGCTTTTGGAACTAATGTTTGAGGGTGGTCCCTGGTCAAAAAAAGGTTGGGAACCATTGCCCTAAACAGCAAACCTTGCTGATTTAGCCCATGAGGTGAAGAAGTGGCTGTCTTTCATTTCGGACAGCAAGACACTTTGTATTGCCTAACAATTGGAATAATTGTAGTGCTATACAATTGGAATAATAAGAGTTGAAAGAGGTCTGTATAGGAGGGATAATAATATTGAGGATAGCTTTGACGGTGTGGTGAGTGAATTAGAACCAGACATGCTGAGGAGTGAGGTTGAATGGGCCTTAAAAAGCATTGCTAGTAACAAGGCATGAGCCATA